TCTTCTTCGCATGTCTTTGTCCCTGTGTGCATGTCTGTCTGGGTCCAAATTTCCCCCCTTTATAAGGACCCAAACATACTGGATTAGGGACCCACCCTACTCGAGTCTGACCTTGTCTGATTGCACCTGCTCTGACCGTATTTCCAAATGAGGTCACATTCTGAAATACCAGGGTCGGGGGGAGGGTGTATGAAGACTTCAACATCTGAATTTTGGACACACGATTTCACCTGTGACGATAGATAAGTGGAATCTCAAGAAAAGCCAGGTTAAGCAAGATTAAACAGATGTCTTTACTTTGGGGCCTCTGTGGAGGTTTTATAACCTCGCTGCAAAATCTCTCACACCCGCCCAATTGAGAGGTGGGGTCTTCATCCCCTCCCCTGGAATCTGAGACCTACAGAGTATGGTGGAAATGACACCGTGTGACATCCGAGGCTAGATCATAAAAGGACATACCACCTCAACCTTGTTTTCTGGCATATTAGGCTACCCTGTCCTGAGGGGCACATGTAGACTCTATGGCCAGCAGTCCCAGCTGAGCCCACCCCTCCGGGCATCCTGCCAAGGTGCCAGACAGGTGAGTGCAAAGCTACCTGGGAATTGCGTCTTCTGGCTGTAGCCATTATAGTTCGAGCTATCAGAGGAGGCGCCAGAGTGGAAATCCCAGCCACAGTGGAATAAAGATGATGGTCTCTGCTGTATATATTTATACATACGTATACATATACATACATACACACTTTATATACTTTGCATATACATAAAGTATTAGTATTATAAGGTGTAAGTTATATATAAGACATATATACAAGGTATTAGTATTATATAATATCGTATATATGAGGTATTTAGTCTGGCTGGTTTAGGTAAACAGAACCAATAGGTATATATATGATGTTCAAAATCTTCAGGGCGGGCTGACAGACTGGGGACTGCAGACCTATGGAAGGGTTGATGCTGCAGCTTGAGTCCCAAGGCGGTCTGCAGGCAAAATTCCCTTACTCATGGGAGGGTGGCCTTTTTCTCTCGTAAGACCTTCAACTGATTGGGTAAGGCCCACCCATATCATGGAGGATTAATTTGCTTTACTTAAAGTCTACTGGTTTGTTTGTTTTTTTTTAAGATTTTCTTTATTTGACAGTGAGAGAGGGAAAACAAGCGGGGGGAGTGGGAGAGGGAGAAGCAGGCTTCCCGCGAAGCAGAGAGCCGATGTGGGGCTCGATCCCAGAACCCTGGGATCATGACCCGAGCCGAAGGCAGACGCTTAACGACCGAGCCACCCAGGCGCCTAAGTCTACTGGTTTAAATGTTAATCTCATCTAAGAAACACCTTCGTGGCAACATGGAGACTAGTGTTTGACCAAACACCTGGGTACTGTGGCCTAGCCAAGTTGGCACATAAAAATAACCATCAGTGGCTGTTTGCCATGCAGCAATAGATAACCAAAACAGCCTGTGCCAGCCTCCTGCTGTGTGCTGTGACTTTCCAAGTAGGTGATAATATGCCACATTGTCCAGTTTTATTTGATCAAACTTTCCAACCTCCTTCCCTCCCCCACCCCGTTTTGCATTATGTGTGTGTTTTTTAACAGAGATCTTTGGGTATGGTGTTCTGCAGAACACCCCTTAACAAGTTTGAGTGTAGCACTTAAGAGCAGAATCAGGTTCAATTCTTGACTGAGTTTCTAGCTGTGTGACCTTGAGTGATTATTTAACCTCTCTGAGCCTCAGTATCTTCATCCATAAAGTGAGATAATCATACTGGGCTCACTGCTGTTGTGAGGAGTAAATTAAATGAGCCTTGGAAAGGGCTCAGACCAGCAGCTGGACACACAGTTTTTTATTCATTCATTCATTTATTCATTCATTCATTCATTCACCTGCAGGACCCAGATTTTACCAGTCTATGGTGCTCCTCTTCCTTTTAAGTCCTTCATTGTGATGCTCAAGCTCTCATCCTACTCCATTTCTAGAAGCTTCTCTCCCTTCCAGTTTCTCTTTCTTCCTTTCTATTTTCCCTTCTATTTTCTTTTTATTTTCCTGTGTAAAATCAGATTTCTCCCCCCATCCCTGGGGGACACGTGCATGTTTCACAAACTCATCTTGTTTGTCACTCCAGCCGCCGCTGCTCTCTGGACCACTGCTTCACATTTCCCACGAGGCACTGCTCTCTCTGCTTCAGCTCCCTTCCTTCTGCCTCCGCTACTGCCTCCCTGCCCGGCCCACCTCCCCTCCAGCGCAGGATGGACCCTGCTGCCCAGGGTGGCAGCAAGAATAGGCTGCAACTTTTATGCTGACTTGACTGGATTGTTCCAGGATCGAATGTTCCACGATCGACTGTTCCACGTATCTACCGGAGGTAACATGCTCAGAGCTGTGGACGTGTACAGAGCTCCTCCTACCCTGAGAGTACCTGCAGCGCTCGTGGCATTGCCTGCCCAGGAGTCCGCGCTGCCTGCTGCCCAGCCTAAGACCCACCTGTCTGCTTCCTCGTTGCCTGACCTGGTTCCAGGATGTCTGTCAGTGGGAATTTCCACTCCTTGAAGGGGGCCCCACCATCAGGTAGATGATGGGCCCTATAGCTCTCTGCTGGACACTTTTAATACTGTTATTGTACCTTTTCTCCTAGACTGAGGTTAAGAGACCTGAGAGGTCAGGATGACATTCCCACACTCTAGCCCATGGGCACCTGCAGCACGGTGCTCCTACTATGCTCTTGAAAGGAATTTCCCCACGGTCCACTTTTCTCCTCCCATCGGATGGTTAGAGATGAATTTGTCCAAGGCAGTAGCCATAGCCTCATCTGGAATGTGGCGAGTCCAAATTAAGACATGTTGTAAATATGAAATGTACACAAGTTTCAAAGACAGTGCTAAAAAATGGGATGCCAAAATATCTCAACAGTTTTTATATTGCTTACATGCCAAAAGACAATATTTTTTTGTATATTAAGTGAAAGAAAATCTCTTACCAAAATTAATTTCACCAATTTCCCTCTTTTAAAAATGGCTCCTAGAAAAATCTAAAAATGCATTATGTAACTAGTGTAATTTGTACAGGATAACCTGGTTGCAGAAGGTACTCAGAGCAGAACCTGGGGCATACTCAACAGTTTCCAGATGGATAAGCCTCTGAATAATAAAACTAGGTAAGGAAGCTCCGGAGATCTGAGGTCACTTTCCTAATCTCATCCTGGCCCCAGGGGCTTTGTCCTCACCCTCTCAAGCATCTCCATACCTGGAATGCTCTCCCCTCCTCTCTGCCTTCTGCCTTCATATGGCTCATCCCTTTCTCTTTTCTTCTAGAGTTAGCCCCTCCCACTTTCATCTCCTCTGAGAGATATTTCCCGACACCTGAACTCCTGCTAAAGATGTCATCTTGCTAGGGACGCCTGGGTGGCTCAGTTGGTTGAGTCAGTCACCACTGACTCTTGGTTGTGATCTTGGGGTTGTGGGATCAGTCCCCACATTGGGCTCCCGCTGAGCACTGAGTCCCCTTGAGATTCTTTCTCCCGCTCCCTCTGCCCCTCCCCCCACTGCTCCTGTGCATGCGTGCTCGCTCTAAATAAATAAATAAAATCTTTAAGGGAAAAAAAGATGTCATTCTGCTAGGAATGACATCCCCAAAGTGCCCACCCAACCCTGCTATTCTCTTCACAACAGTTCCTACTGAAATTCTCTTGCTTATTTGTTTATCATGTTTTCCCAGCTAAAGTATCAGTTCCATGAGTACAAGGGTCTTGTTTATCCTGCATCTTCTCATGCTTCAGCACAATTTAGACTTCCAAAAAAAAATTTTTTTTTGATGAATGGATGAATGAATGAATGAAGAACATGAATTCTTACTGTTCACATTTGAAGCTTTGTGTGAATTTACAACTTAATTTCTTCCTTCTTACTCGGGGACTTTAGTAAAGCGTACAGACGTGTCTTGGTGAGTGGATTCTTTTTCTGGGGGGCAGGTATGGAAAAGGGCTGAGTTTCCATCAGAATCAATGCTGTATTGAGCAGAGAAAACCCACCTGGAAATCGGTACCCCAAAGGAAGAGTGACCATGGTGCCATAAGCCCCAGAAATGTGCAAGAATCTGGGTGGAGCTTAGGAGTCTCTTAGGGACCGAAAAAAAACCCCACCACAAAACAAAAAACAAAAAACAGAAACTTAATATCTCCCACTTTTGGAAGCTAGAAATTCAAGATTAAGGTGTCGTAGGATTGGTTTCTTCTGAGGGCTGTGGGGGAGAATCCATCCCACGCTTCTCTCCTTGGCTTATAGATGGTTATCTTCACATTCACATGGCATTCTCCCTGTACGTGTGTCTGCGTTCAAATTTCTCCATCTTATAAGGATACCTGTCAAATTGGATTAGGGCCCATCCTCATGACCTCATTTTAATGTGTTACCTCTATAAAGGCCGTGTCTCCAAATAAGGTCATATTCTGAGGTACTGGAGGTTACGAGGACGTCAAAATATAAACTGGGGAGGAGGGAGAGAACACAATTCAACCTATAACAGATGCTGAAGGACCACTTGCAAGCCGTCCCTGGAAGACTGGGTGTTTTATAGCCCCTATCCCACGGAACACTCTGATGGTCATCCACTGTTCTCACCTGCCCAGCATACATCTCCCTTCTTCTGGGTAGAGCACCCAGATTTTTCTTTGGGGATTCACCCACCTGACATTCTCGGTCTGTCTGCTTTTTTTTTTTTTTTAATTTTATTTATTTATTTGAGAGAGAGAGAATGAGAGAGAGCGAGCACATGAAAGGAGGAGGGTCAGAGGGAGAAGCAGACTCCCCCCTGAGCAGGGTGCCCCATGCGGGACTCGATCCCAGGACTCCAGGTTCATGAGCCACCCAGGCGCCCCGGTCTGTCTGCTTCTAACAGAATTGGCCAGAATTGGCATTGAGCATGTGACCCAGATCTAGCCAATCAGTGTATTTCTTCCTTCGGCCACAGCGATTGGCTCAAGTGTGGGCACGTGACCCAAACTGAGCCAATGGCGTTTAATTCTAGGAGCTGATAGGCTGGAAGCTTGAGCGTCCTGGGGACCTTCTTTCCCATGAGAAGGAAGATACGGAGGAAAACAGGTAAGAGGTGTCCAAAGACACTGAGCCCAGTGACATGCTTGAGGCCGTTGAATTGGGCTGTGCCTGAACTCGGCTTTATGGTCGACTTTTCAGTTACAGGAGATAATGCATTCCCTTTTTGGCTTCATGCCATTTCGATGTGAGGTTAAATGATTCGTGACCAAAAGCCAATGTAACATTGCCTCCGCCCTGCTCCTGTTTGTGTACCCTGGTCATACCAGGTAGCCTGCAATAGGAAAATTTCACCAGGAAAAGAGAATTGCTTTCAGGCTTCCTGCGTTGTCTGAAAAGAGCCTGGTTTAAAGCCCCAGCGGAGACACTTAGGATTAGCCAATGAGAGCAAGGAGCCAGGGTGGTGAATGTGTGCCAACAAATAACTCAAGCGGGCGAAACTCTTGGGGTTTTATAATTATGTGAAAAAACCCGAGATTTCTGTAAGGCAGGGGGTCAGCAAATTAAAATTCTCCCAGGAGCTAAGGGCTTCTGAATGCTTGTTTCTGATAATCTTGTTTATATCCTGGGGTAAATAAATCTGTCTTTTGTTCTGTGTTATTCAACTCTCAGCATTGTTTGTAATTAAAGGGGTGGAGGGTGGAAACATGAGTGAGTTCTTTAATTGGCTCTGTTCTGGGTGACACGGAGTAAGGCGGGGAAAAAAAGGCCCTTGTGGGCAGGAGTTGGGGGTGGCCTGATCTACCCTGGGAAATGGTGATCAAACTCTGGGCAGCTGGTGATCAAGTGGCAAAGGGGTGGAAATCCATCGTCATTAGTGTGATCGATGAGCACAGGCTGAGCCTCTGCCGGTTTGTGCCAGGATTCTTCTGAGACAGAAAGAACCTGAGTGAAGGTCTGGTTTCAGAAGTCACCCCCATGCCAAGAGGTAGAATATTACTCCAGGTGGACTTAATACTCACCCTCTACTTTCCTTCAACCATGTCCTGGGGGTTGGAAGGGATGACAGGCAATCCTAGTAAATGGTCAGATAAGCCCCACTTATGACATGATAGAAAGGGGTTAATGAGCACAAATAGTCATAACAGATACAACAGCTAACGTGTGTTGTGCACTTTCTGTGTGTCAGACATGATGTTGAGAGCAATACATACGTGTTTTTTTTTTTTTTTCTTTTGATGATTTCTTTTAATGCTCCCAAGAATTCCATGCTATTGGCACAACCGTCTGTATTTTTTGGGTGAAGACACTGAGACACAGAGAGAGGTTAAATAACTTGCTAGGGGTCACCCAGAGGGTGAAGCTGGCATTCATCTTCAAGTCAACCCGACTACAAAGCTCTGCTTACGTTGACCGCATTACCTCATGCCTTCAGGGAACTCTGCTCTGCGCTTCTATAGCTTTATTTTAAAACTCTTTAACCAAGTCTCATCCTCTCTCTGAGTCTCAGAGTCTTACCTGTAAAATGGGGATAAGAACACTTTTAGGTAGCAGGGTGCTTGGATGCAAACAGCAGACACAGACATGGGTTAATTTAAGCAAAAATGGGATGTTCTGGAAAGATACGGCAGAGTTCTCAGAGCTCTGATCTCTTTTGGTTTTGTGGAGGAAACAGGTCAAGCTTCCACCAAGAATCACCCCGTGGAGGATTTTTCTCCAACAGAAAGGGTGTTCAGAGGCTAAGTAGCCAAAATAACCCCACCCCACCCTGACTTTGTATTAGGGCTGCACGGGATGGATGTCTCTAGCATCAGGCATGACACACAGTAAATGCCCAGTGAATGGTAATTATTATTATTCTTACTAACGATAATACCCAGGAAGAAGCAGCTCAGTCTGTCTCCATGTCTGCTGTATGAATTCTGAGCCGCCTGTCCTGTGGGATGATTTAGATGTCCTTTATGAACAGAGATGTAAACCAAGCTAACATATCCTCGAGACAGAAGGATGCTGGCATGTCTTTAGATTGGTCACTAAAGCGTGTCCTAAATTGGGAAAAAATCAAAACAGATTGCATCTAATTTCTCACTGTTCCAAGCAAGAAATTACCTTTTTAAGGGAAACACCATGACTTCCAAGCTGTTTGCAAACAGTTTTTGTGAAGTGTCTTGTCTGGGGCTTGGCTTGGTTTTCTTGGTTAGATTATCCCCGTGGGGATAGCTGGGTTTGCAGAGAGAAGAGGCGCAAAGAAGCCACTTATCTCACTTCTTCCTCATGCTATTAGGAGCCTGGTGAGCCCCACGCACCCCCCCCATAGTAGCTGAGTGAGTTACCACATGGAAAGCGTGGGCTTCGGAGCCAGAGACCCGGGTTTGAATCCTAGCTCTGCTGTTTCCTGCTTTATAGCCTTGGGCAAGTCACTTTACCTCTGTGGCTTTCCATTTTCTCATCTTAAAAATGAGGTAATCATGATTCACTTCCTAGAGCTTGCCGTGGCCTGAAGTAACTGTTGTTTTCATCCAAAGCTGCTGCTTTGATATCTTTGCATAAATTAGAAAAAAAGGCATCCTTTCTTCTAGCAGATGTAGCTGGGGCCAGGGTACGTGGCTGGCTGAGCAGAGTACAGGCAGGATTTTATTTCCTACTTAGCCCCTCAGCTGCTTCTCAATCTCCCCCCTGCTCGTGCTATCACTCTCTCTCTCTGAAAATAAATAAAATCTTTAAAAATTTTTAGAGAGAGAGAGAGCACAAGCAGGGGGAGTAGCAGGCAGAGGGAGAAGCAGGTTCCCTGGCTGAGAAAGGAGCCCAATGTGGGACACCATCCCAGGACCCTGCGATCATGACCTGAGTCAAAGGCAGATGCTTAACCGACTGCGACACCCAGGCATCCCCTTATTAAGCTTTTTAAGCCTTTCTCCTATGAATAGACACAGACCCCTGGCCAAAAGGATGAGAATATAACCCAATTCTGGCCAAATCATCTAACCAGAAACAGTGATTGGTCCAAGGGATAGGCATGTGACCCAGGCAGTCTAATCAGAGTTTTTTCCTGGGACCAATATACACATGTTGGGAGAAAGTAGCATTTTATATCCACTGGGGGACATGCCAGCCATGTTCCTCTTCAGATGGACTAGGCCTGTCTATAGTAGGAGGAAATGTGATCAACAGGTAAAGACAAACAGAAGTAAAAATGAGAGAGGAAGTTTCTGGAGCCTGTTGCTGAGGCTGTTTCCTGAAACTCTTCCTGTGATTCTAAGCACACACTTGGTTCTCCTCTTAGTTACATGAGCCCAAACGGTTCTACTTTAGCTTAAGCTACCGTGAGTTGGTTGTCTGACACTTGGAGCCAAGACTGTCCTAATAATTGAGGAGTTGTTATAAGAGGTATTATATATGGAAAGAACCCTAGCTCCCAGTGGCACTCCATAAATAATAGTTGTTCTTTTTTTTTTTTTTAAAGATTTTATTTATTTATTTGAGAGAGAGAATGAGACAGAGAGAGAGAGCACGAGATGGGGGAGGATCAGAGGGAGAAGCAGACTCCTTGCCGAGCAGGGAGCCCGATGTGGGACTCGATCCCGGGACTCCAGGATCATGACCTGAGCCGAAGGCAGTCGCTTAACCAACTGAGCCACCCAGGCGCCCAATAATAGTTGTTCTTATTGTCCCACCAAACCACGTGGAATTCCCACCATTGTGCTTCTTTGGAGTGAACAGGGAAAAAAATGCTTTATTAGATTGGGGATGTCAGACATTGTCACCAGTCCTTGATCTCTTGCCCATGACAGACATCGGTAACTCATTAGTGGAAAACATGAATTGATAAGGCTGTGGTGTTTTTTGGTTGTTGTTGTTGATTTTGTTTTGTTTTGTTTTTTGCTTTGCCCGGAAATGGTCTCTGAGTCCTACTAACAGGTGCTTACAGGCATCCTCTGCTAATCATTTGGAAATGAAATAGGAGATGAAACCAAACATTTTGATTTTAGGCAATTTGTGACAAAATCCATTGCAATTCATTTTTAAAGCCTCTAACCTGTGGAAGCATGCCAATGGAGGGGAGAAAATGTTGCTTTAAATTAATGCCAGAAAATAAGGGACTCAGAATAACACCACAGAAGCCTAAATGGCTAATGAAGTTTGGCAGAAGGGTTTTGTGAACATGTGTAGGGCATCTGGGTCAACAGGCAAGCAAATTTCCAAAGACAGAAGAAAAGATTAGCTCGGCTCCCCCATTGTGTCCGAGGTAAATAAATCTCACTTCCCTGTGGTCTTTTGGGGATGGGGGAGGGGTTCCTGGTGAATTTTCCAGCCAGAGGAAGGCCTCCTGGTGGAATAGAAAAAGAACCGAATAAATTTGAACAAAACAAAACACTCCAGATTTTTCTGCCTAGCTAGAGAAGTCCAAGATCTGTCACTGACCGCTGAGTCTAGGGGAGCCAAAGGAGTCAAATTTGATACTAGATAAGGTAGATAGATATTTTATTTCACACACAGCTTACTTTCTAATGTGCTTCCCCTGTAGTGAGATGCAGAGTTTTGATTGGGTGCTTATTAAGGGTTTATTTTTCACCATATTGGTTCCTGGAGAAACACCTGCTTATGTAGAATAAACCCACAGACAAAATAACCCTCCAATAAGCCCTTAATAACTGCTTTCAATTATTGATCACTTATTGTATGCGGGGGTGTATTTTTTTCCCACAAGTTATCTTTAATCCTTACAACAAACTTGACGAAGCAGCATTTTTACCTCATTTTACAGATGGAGAAACTTGAGATTCAGAGCGGTTACTTCGTAGACAAGTCAGCATTTAAAGGCAAGTCTTTCTCACACCGACGTTCTTGGTATTTCTGCCATCATGTGCCACACAGCTTATATTTTTTCTTTAAAAAAATTACAGAAGTAACAAAAACAGTGTTGTATGTACATAAAGTAAAAAAAAAAAATAGAAAGAAAGCCCCCCCCCCCCGACCCCCCATTAACTAGCCCTTCCCATCCCTATTTCCCAGAGGTAACCTATAGTACCAGTTGGGTGTATGTCTTTCAAGATCTTAGATAATGCCACAAATAATACATGTTATTATAAGAAAGTCAGAAAATGCAGATAAGCAGAAAGTAAGATAAGGTGCCATAACTCAGAGATAACCGGGGAGAACATGCTGATGTATTTCCTTCCTGTGCCCTGTGTGTGTGTGTGTGTGTGTGTTTTCAGAAGACACATTCATTGCCTGCCTGTCATATGACCAGCCCTGTGGGAAAAACAGATAAGACCCCTCCCTGGCCTCTGGGTCCCACAGTCTTAGTGGTAACAGAAGAGTGGCCGCCTTTTCTTTGCCATTCCAAGGACTTCTGTCTTCGTTTTTTCTGTGGGGCAGTATGATGGGTTGGGAGACCCTTAAGAGGGGTGGAGTGTGGACAGTGTGCCCATTTCCTGCGGATGAGGGCCCATGTGAAGTCCTCACATTTCCTCTCTGATACAGTTCCCATTCTACAGATGAGGGGACTGAGGCTGCAGGAGGTGAAGTTGCTTTTCCCAAGGTCACACAGCTGTGGTGTGGTTGCCCCTGCCTCTCAGCCCTCACGTGCTACAGCCCTCCTAGGAGTGGTCAGTCCTTGTCCACAGAGAAGTGGGGTGAGTCCGTGACGGCAGGGCTGTGGGGGGGCTGGTGTCACCGGGAAGGTCGGAACACAGCCTTTAGAACTGGGTAGATCTGGATTTGAATCAGCCACTTCCAATCTGTGTGTCCTTGGGCAAGTGATTTCACTTCTCTGAGCCTCAGGACGTCTGTTAAATGGGGATCATTATTATCCTACTTGCCTCGTAGGGTCATTGTGACAGTAAAATGGGCTGGTATCAGGGAAGTGGGCCTATAAAATGCTCAGCACAAAGCAAATTACTCGATAAGTGTTACCCATTGTTGTTACTCTGAGTGCTTCCAGGAAGCCTTTGATTCAAGGACAGTTAGGTCTCTCCAGTAGGATGAGGGGACACCCCCTCCCTGCCAGGGGCTGTGGCTCTCCTTTTGTTTCTGATTGCCTTCGGGCACAGGCTGCTGGCACCACTGTTCCAGGCACTTTGGAAAAAAACAAAACCTTCTGTTCCTCCAGAACCCTTTGTCTGAAATCCTCTCTGTTCTCTGCTTTCCTGATACTAACCTGTCTGGTGCCTGACATGGGGCCTGACACTCAGTAAATAATTGTTGAAGATTGAATAAAAGATGGAAGCATGAAAGGCCTGGCAGATAGAAAGAGTCAGTTGGGGAATGTTGACTAATTCACTTCTCCGGGCTTGATGACCATCTCTGTATAATGAGGACAATAACTACCCACCTCACTGGATTATTGGGAGAGTTGTGTGATGCCATATATAATGTGTGGGGCCCAGCAATTGTAGCTGCAATTTCTCTCACCTCTCCTTTGCCCTTTCTTGGGGACTTCCCACACCAGAAATGCACACTTTTCCACATGGGGGTCACTTGGTTGAGTTGCACAAGGGGTAGGCACTCTTTCCTGTTCTGATCACTCCCTGATGCTTAGGGGAGAACATTCAGGCATTTCACCTGGCAGCCGGCAGCTTCACCTTCAAGGTCCTGTCCCATTTCCTTTTAGCTTTGTCCCTAACCACTCCCGCCCACCTGTGGCCGGGCCTTCCACTCCCCTAAAGCACTCTGCCTCCCCTTCCATGTTCTTTTTATACATTAGAACTCTGAAATGGTTCAACAGTGTGAAAATTAATAAAAGGAAACCTCTTTAAAATGGAGTCGGGAGGCCAATAGGGGAAAGGCTCATGCCCTATCACTTATGGTCAATTGCAAACCCAACAGGAAGAGAGACACTTTGTAAGTCATACTGTATTACCCCCGCGGGAGGAAAAGTTATCCCCGCCCCCATCAACAGCTCAGCCAATGAGAGACTGTCACAGCTCAGCCAATGAGAAGCCACTACACTTCAAACTCCCAGTTTCTTCCAATGGCCTTTTTGTTTACAACAGCCTCCCCAATTCTCCCGCCCCCCCCCCCCCCCATAAAAGAGACTTTCTCTCCTTTGTTCTGGGCGCTTGCCTATGGTTGTAGGCATAGCTTGCTTGTCCTGTAGCTTGGCTTGGGTCAGCTTCCTCATCTGAAACGTGAAGAAAAATATACCTACCTCCCAGTTTGGAGGAAACATAACCATATTTAATATACTGATTCCAGTGACAGGCCCCCAGCATATTAGTAGCTGTCATCATCATCATTATTATTTTCTATGGACATCCTCTCATTTCCTCACAGTTCTGTTCAGACCATTCCGGTTCTCTTACAGAATTTAGTGCAAAAATGGCTGGATCATTCATCCTGAATTGCGATTCTCTTGCCATTCCTGAATAAACCCATTTCTGCTGGTAAAATAACTGACAGTTTTATTTTTAAGTTTAACAACAGCAAAAACTAAATAGGCCCTGGCAGTCACACCAGATGGGATATTTGTTCAGAATTCACAAGTGTCCTAGTTGATCAGTTTTGCTGAACAGAGCAAATTGGATCCAATTCAGCCTGGACATAATGTTGGCCAACAGCCATAAGGGACTAGAACCATGGATTTCCTCCACTGACGCAGCAGGGGGTCTATGGAAACAACAGTGTGACTAACCCGAGTTCTCTAGTCACTCATCCATCTGCAGAGCAACCCTATGAGAGAGGATGTTATCACTGGTTCCATTTCACAGATGGAACAACTGAGGCTCAGATAAACTACTAAGCAGAAAACTGACTTGGAGAAAATTGGCTTGAAACAGAAGATGCATCTATTCTCTTTGACATGTGGGAAGTGTGTGAAAATGTTGGGTTTGCCCCATTGGGAACTGGGACGCTAAATCTGATTTTAGCTCTAAAGCTCAAGTGTCACGCAAGATTACTTTCCCTCAGGACCAACTGGAGGCAGAATTAGAACATGAGAAGACTGCAGAAGGAATCTTCTTATCTGATAATGAAAAAGTATTTTCAGCTCTGACAATGTCTAGGGATTTTTACCAAAAATGGAAAGCATCTTGAGTAGATGAATGATCCAGCCATTTTTGCACTAAATTCTGTAAGAGAACCGGAATTGTCTGAACAGAACTGTGAGGAAATGAGAGGATGTCCATAGAAAATAATGATGATGATGACACCTACTATTTTGCTGGGGGCCTGTCACTGGAATCAGTATATTAAATATGGTTATGTCTTCTCCAAACTGGGAGGTAGGTATTTTTTTCTTCACGTTTCAGATGAGGAAGCTGACCCTCAGAGAGGTGAAGTGACCTACCTGAGGTCACACAGATGGTCAGTGGCAGAGCTAGGATTCAAACCATGATTTGTGCGAATTTAAAGCCCACTCGGGGCACCTGGGTTGCTCAGTCGTTGGGCGTCTGCCTTCAGCTCAGGTCATGATCCCAGGGTCCTGGGATCGAGCCCCGCATCAGGCTCCCTGCTCGGCAGGAAGCCTGCTTCTCCCTCTCCCACTCCCCCCTGCTTGTGTTCCCTCTCTCGCTGTGTCTCTCTCTGTCAAATAAATAAATAAAATCTTATAAATAAATAAATAAATAAATAAATAAATAAATAAATAAATAAATAAATAAAAATAAAGCCCACTCTCTTCCTATATCCAGCCCTGGGCTAGGTCCCTGGGATTCCTATGTGAGAACAGATTCCGAAGTGAGGTAAACATTGCTAAGAGAGTCCTTCAAAATAGGGTTGGGAGGATGTGGAGGAAGCCGGTCCTCTGAACTCTCCTGTTTCAATTCTTGGAATACCAGAACTCTTGACTTTTGTCAATTGCATCTTGTCAGTTGCATCTCCACCAACTCCTAAGACACATCTTTCTACTTAGGACTGAAATAGAGATAATGTAGCATCTATTAATTAAATGGCCAATTGTTAGGTAGATGGTCAGTTTAACCCTGTCAGTACTAATCATAATTCTTTCAAAGGAACCTTGTGGCTTTTGCCTTTATAAGCCTTCACTCCCCGCTCGCAAGGTCTGTCACCTCTGCCCGGGATCTGAGCTCAGGGTAAGCAGTTTGCTGTGCTCTGAGGCAGCTGTAGGCTGCAGACCCTCCTGGCTCCTACCCCCACCGCCCTCTCCAATCCATCCTGAGGTTTAGCTTCCGGAAGAATAATGAGCAAGTCTCCTTCTACAGTTGCTGTCCAGTGGGAACAAGCAAGATGCCCTCTCAAGAACCAGCATCATGAGCACAGCAAGCATAGCCTTCCTGGGCCTGATGCCCCACAGCAGTGGCGGGGTGCGGGGGCCCCTCATGTTCTGCTTGGTGACCCAGACCCTGTTCTTTGTCACTCATTTTCTCCCACTGGGCCAGGAGCTGGTACAGCCCAGGGCTGATCAGCAAGTTCTAACATGCTGGGAGTTAACTCAGACAGTCCGAAAATTCTCGTTTAAACTTCACCTGAACAACCGGCTCATAATGACAAGAGCGGCTATTTATTGATACATTTTAGATGCTTCCCATATACAACACCTGTTGGATGCTTTCTCTAAATAATCTGTGTATTGAAAGAGCAGGACTTAAGGGATACAGTCATCGAGCTACTTCTGTTTCTCCCCCAGTTGTGCAATCACAGGACTGACCCTCTCTCTCTCTGTGAATGAATGTCGGACAGACTCTTTAGCTCATCTGCTTATTTGTGGGTTATAAAAACATCTTTGGCAGTTCAGTGATCCCTATGTCCAGTCTGGTGCAAGGGTCAAACCCCTGGGTTTTGGGGCGCCTGGGTGGCTCAGTCGTTAAGCGTCTGCCTTTGGCTCAGGTCAGGATCCCAGGGTCCTGGGATCGAGCCCCAC